TCTTTCTTTCTTTCTTTCTTTCTTTCTTTCTTTCTTTCTTTCTTTCTTTCTTCCTTTCCTTCTTCCTTCCTTCCTTCCTTCCTTCATTTATTTATTTATTTATTTGGTTTTTCAAGGCAGGGTTTCTTTGTAGCTTTGGAGCCTGTACTGGAACTCACTCTGTAGACCAGGCTGGTCTCTAACAGAGATCTGCCTGCCTCTGCCTCCTGAGTGCTAGGATTGAAGGTGTGCACCACCACCACCCAGGAAACACACACAATCTTAAGAGGGAAAGGCATACAGCTGGACTTGGAATCTCGGGTGCTCTGTGCCACGACAAATTCCTCTGAGTACAGCCACACACACCCCCTACACACACACCTTTTTGTAGGGAGGAATGAACGCAGGGGGCTGTTTGTCATTTGGGACACTGGGACCATTTACAAGCTCAGAGTCACACATGAGGTTTGGGAGCGAAGTAGTGGCAAAGTCTTCTGAGTTTTGCTTCCAATTCTACATAGCTACAATGAGGATGTGTGGGAAGGAAGCAGGCCTAAATTTAGGTTCCACAGCAAAATCAGAAAGGCAAATGCCTTTCTGGTAAAGCAGGGTTAGAACAGAAACCTAAACAGTGAGAGAAAGTTGACCCTGTGCAGGGACACCTAGGAGGAATAATTTCTTTTTTCTTTCTTTCTTTCTTTCTTTCTTTCTTTCTTTCTTTCCTTCCTTCCTTCCTTCCTTCCTTCCTTCTTTTTTGTTTTGTTTTTTTCTAGACAGGGTTTCTCTGTGTAACAGTCCTAATTGTCCTGTAATTAGCTCTTGTAGACCAGGCTGGCTTCAAACTCACAGAAATCCACTTGTTTCTGCCTCCTGAGTGCTGGGGCTAAACACATGTGACAAGAATAGTTGTAGAAGATTGGTCATGCATTTGAGAGGGGGTTCAGAGGCCTGGGAGGAGTTGCATGGAGATAAGGAAGGGTGGAAGTGATAGACACATAATACTCATGTATGCAACTCGCTAGCAAAATTTTAAATAAAATAAAACAATTTTATATCCCCCAATAAGATCTTTTACACTCGTTTATAGTAAATTGTTATTTCTCCTTTCAACTCCAGTCAATAACGAATCTACTTTCCATCTCTTTACGTTGACTTATTCAGGATATATTTTACCAGTGGAATCATTAGGCATGTGGTGTTTTGTGTCCAAATACTTTTACCCAGCATAATGCTTTTCAAGTTAATCCATATAGAACCATGTACAGGGTTTTGTTTCTTTTGGTTGTTGAATAATATTCCAGATATATGGTTTTTAACTAGGACAAAGTGGACATTTCCAGTTAATGATACTGCCTCTGGGTTTTACCTGCAAGAGTCTTTCAGCACCACACCCAAGAGCATCCAAGACTGCCCTCTGTTGTGAGGAAACTTTCTCTCTGTCTGGTGGGATAGAAAGTCTGGATCATGTCACTTTGGATCACGTGTGCTTTGGATGGCAAGGTGTCTCAGAGATCTGATGGCCTTAACTCATGTTCTTTGAGCTGCACTGTAGTCTTCTCGGCCTGAAACCTTTTGCAGAGAGAAGTCATATCCTGAGGACTCCGTTTCCTCTGTCTCCTTGAACAACACTGAAGGGAAACCCAGTATTTAAGAAACACACGGGAGTGGTGAGAGGGCAGAGTGAAGCAGGGGCTACAGCTAACATTCTGTGGGCTACTGCAGCTGTTGGACCCAGAGCCTGCATCCTGGCAGCCTTAACAAGCTGAGTTCAACCACCAGTCTTCAATGGGTCACTTAAAGGCACACTAAGTAGTGAAAAACAGGAGATTTGTTCAATGAGGACACATTGGGAAGAGGCACAAAAAGATCCAGTGACTCACTCCGAGGTCATCTCTGCAGTCCTGATGTCAGGCCTTGATTCAACTAGAAGGCAAGAAGCATAGACAGCCAACTTGTCCCGGTCAAGATGAGGCCACTCATTGTTGACCTAGCATCGTCTCAGCACAACATTATTTGACTGAACAGCACTGAATGGGTTCTCTTTCCAGGAGCCGAGCTTCTCTTCTGCGTCCTCATCAGTGGATATCTGGGGACATTCCAATTTTGTGAGGTCCTTAGTTTCAATAGTTGGATGGTCAAAGAGAAGAGCATAAGAAGCCCATTAGAACATCCTCATTCCTGCCAGGACAGGTAACACGCTCAGCGCCCATCTTCTTTGGCACAGTTTTTTAGTGCTAACTGTTCACTTTAGTGCTTTGACAGCGAGCAAGAACTCTCAAAAAGATTGGCAGCAGGTCAGCAGCCCTGAGGTCTCACTCCCACAGGCCACTTTTGTCTGTTCCCGAGATTTACTAGAAACCACCCTGACTCCTTCCAATCAGCTGACTATCAGTGACCTTAGGCAAGGCTTATCTTCTGTTGGACAGCAAGAGGACTGGAGGGTTGCTTCACCGTTGTTAGGTAGCTATTCTACCGCAGACATAACCCCCACCGCCCGTTCTCTCATCTTTTTCTCTTTCTCTCCCCACGTCTCTCCTTCTTAGCCTTCCCTTCCTGTTTCCGCCCTAAGGTCATAGACGAGCTGAACTGTGTGAGATCCCAAGCATTTGGGGTAGCAGTGCTCCAATCGGAGCACCGATGGCTTCCTTAGTCTATTGTGCAAAAGTGCCTGAGGCCCCTGGACTCAGTGTTGATGTTTCTGGGCAGCTGCAAGACAGGTTGGCAAATCAGCGGACCCATTATGTGTTTCATGTGATGTACGTCACTGAGGTGCCAGCGAGGTTGGTGATTTGTTTTCGTTTTGATATTATCTGCATTATATAGATGATATTATCTACATTATATAGATGATATTATCTTCTACATTTATAGATTTCACATCCTAGTCCTGATTTTTTTGGGGAGAAGAAAACAATCAGATCTGAAGATGAAGTTCCACGTGTGGACAGGTAAGCACCTCCCGGATGGCCACGTTTGCCAGGGGATTTTCTCTTGTTCCAAAGATTAAGGTCGGTTTTCCTTCCTCCACACTCCTTCACACTACTGACTGGCCCTTGGGGCACTTGACTTCAGTCCTTGGGAAAGTGCTGTCCAGACAGGTTCATTCCTGGAAGGCCCAAAGGCCTGATAAGCAGGTGAGCCGCCCGGAGAGTTAAACAGCCTACCGAGAGCGTGAGATCTGCCTTCTTTTCTCTTTCTATATACTATCTATAGGGTGCAGTCACTAAGAAGATCTGGGGCCAGTTAGCAGTGGCTTGGCCTGGTCTTGTGACTGGAGAAGTTTGGCGCGTTCCTTCTATGCTCAAGAACAACTGTAAGCTACTTCTGCTTATCACGATCTGTGTTTGTGAACTAAGTTCAGTGGTTGACAAAGGTCCAGCTAGCAAATATTACTATTTCTGTGTTGTCATCGTTAACCCTGACTTCTGACCCCCTCCCTACTCAGCTCCCAGCAAGATAGGTATTTCCCTAAGCTCTGACCTTCCTTTAGTCCTGCCACATCGGTGGTCACCCCCCTTGCGCTTCGCATCCTGACCTCTTTCCAATGGCTGGCCTAAGCCGCTTGCGATACTGAGCTCACTTCTTAACAAGCGACACTGTAGGACAGGTGCGGTGTCCCACACCTTTAATCCCAGCATGCAGGAGCCAGAGGCAGGTGGATCTCTATGAGTTCCAGGCCAGCCTGATCTATAAAGCAGGTTCCAGGACAGTCAAGACGGTTATATAGAGAAACCTTGCCTCAATAAGCCAAAGCCAACCAAACAAAAAAACTATGCCTTTTGTCCTGACTTTTGTGGTCCTTTGGGTGGCTTCCATCCCTGGCACACTGACTCTTGCCGCTCCAGGATATCTGCCTCAAGCTCTTGTGGGGCAGAGCTCCAGGGATGGGCTCCCATTAGAGAGCACAGTCAGTGTAGAGTAGAGGCTCCCAGGGCGCTCAGGTCAGACAGGAACTACTCAAGGGCAGGACCCATGGCTACAGCTATCTGCTCAGTTCTGTAGCCCCCGTACTTGGTCCTCTCTCTGGCACACTGTAAGTGTGTGAGAGACACAGTTACATTTTAAGTTTTAATAGTTATGCCTAAGAGATCCATGCAGCAAAGGACAGATAGTTCCTGAGATTCTGGAGGCTATTGTTTATGGGCAATAATAAGTCACGTGTTTTCACTCCCCTAAGTGAGTTTATTTAGCCCATCTGTAACTATCTATGTGCTTGATCACATGTGGGCGAGAGATTCCCTGGCTGTAGATACATCAGGATGTATGCTTGCCCCTGATTGGATCTAATGGAAAATGCAACGAATTAGGAGTTTTCTTTCTTAAACCCGCACAAACTGTGATTCTGGGTCCTTTTCCAGGAGCATGGGTATGGACCTGGCTAGAGCCCATCCACCTGGCCAGTATTTAATTAAAGCTTGCTTCATATGTGTTGTTGTTGTTGTTGTTTTAAATCATGTTGGCTTTTTAATTAGGGGTCAGTTTGCATCTAGGAAAATAAGTATAATGATAAATTCCTTCGTTTCATGGTTTACCTTTTCACATTTACAATAACATTTTTTTCCTTATTTATTTATTTAAAGAATTTCCACTTCCTCCCCTCCTCCCAATACCCTCCCGCTCCCGCTCCCCCCACTCCCTCTCCTCCTCCCTCCCCATTCCCAAGAGTGTTGTTGGTTTTTGTGGTTTTTCGAGACAGTTTCTCTGTAGCTTTGAGGCCTGTCCTGGAACTCACTCTTGTAAATCAGGCTGGCCTCGAACTCACAGAGATCTGCCTGCCTCTGCCTCCTGAGTGCTGGGATTAAAGGCGTGCGCCACCACTGCCTGGCTCTCAAATTTGGTTTTAAACTGTGGTCATGGTCTTATTCTTGATTGATGGGATTAACAGGTACCTGTAAGTATCCATTACATAGATAAATGATTGCATGGATAAACTCAAGAGGGAATGAATGAATACGGACGAGGGACCAGAGTGGCAAAAACTGTTTAACTTCTATAACCTCCCAGTGTAACCTTCCTGCTGGGAACAAGGCCTGCGCAGTGACACACAGGCCTCTCCTATTCGCCGACGATGGAAACAATGGGCTGCAGAAAATTAAAATTGCCCAGGAATCTCATGCAGGAGACAGAGAAAGGCCAAAGGCCTGGTGTCAGTCAGAGGGGTAGCCTACTTCCCAGGAAGAGTTTTGGCAACTCAGCAGGCTACTTGGCAGGACAGAAGCAGAGGTAATTATGACCCAACAGCGGGAAGGACCACACTTTGGCCAGGGCTACTTACTTATGCATATCTCTTGTCCCCTATTTAAACATGAAACCTACGACAGTATCCTGAGGACAGTCTTGGGGGTTGTCACTGGACAGTTGCATTCCGCTTCTTATTGTTGGCCTTGTTGACCAAAGCTCTCCTTCTCTCTGTTACTTGTGTCTTTCATTGCCATATTGGGAATAGGTGGCTGAGTCTAGCTTGTAGGGGCTGCTGGGGTTTAGGCTTTGACCCTAAAAACTCTGGTCGCACTAGGTGTGCTGGTTTTGTGACATGCCTGTTTCTCTTTAGTGAGTAGCAATACAGCCATGACATGGAAGAGAGGTCATGCTGGCCTTCCAGGACAGGAAGAGGGGGAGATTTTCTCCCTCAGCACCACAGCCTGCCTCTGTGTGGGGACGCTGCCAGGACACAGACTGCTTGTGAGAAGTTGCTAAACATTAGGGAAGACAAAGGTGACATTAGCATTCTTGATGCAGGGCTTGCTCCCGCCCCAGGTGACAGGCCTGCCTCTGACTGGGAACTGACTTTGGGCAAGGCCCCCCAGTGAGCAAGCCAGGAACTGTGGCCTAGCTCTGAGCCTTTCAAAAGGCCATTGCTATCCCATAAAGGCTGCAGATTTATCGGTAGTAAAAACAACCAGCAGCTCTGTCTTAGGGTACCTATCGCTGTGAAGAGACACCATGAGCACAGCAACTCTTCCAAAGGAACACAGTTCACTGGAGTAGCAGCTCACAGCTTCAGGGGTTTCGTCCATTATTGTCATGGTGGGGAGCATGGCGGCATGCGGGCAGACATGATACTGGAGAAGGAGCTGCTGCGCGTTGATATGCGGGCAACAGGAAGTAGACTGAGGCGCTGGGCTGTATCTTGATCACGTATGAGACCTCTAAGCCCACCTCCACAGTGACACACACTTCCTCCAACAAGACCACACCTACTTCAACAAGGACACAGCTCCTAATACTGCCGCTTTCTTGGGAGGCCAGTTTTACTCAAACCAGCACACAACCCAGTCACATTGTGGGCTTTCCCTCCACTGTCTCCCCATTGAGTTTCCCCTGTCTGTTTTCTCTGCAACCTAGGGATGCCAGTGCCCTCAGCTCTCAGCCTGTTTGTCCCTTGGAGACGAGTCACAAGCCCCCTTGGGGACTGTGGGACTCGGGTTCCAAGTTCTGGAAAGCAAATGACTGCTTCTCTTCTCCTGTCTCGGTGACTCTTGCAGAAAACTTAATCCTAGCTAGACTTGTAATGATCAGGCCGTCTGCCCAAGTCCCCCAGCCAGTAAGCGGTAGGACTGTGATTCGGACACAGGAAGTGAAACTCCACTTCCTTACTCTCTGATACGGACGTGGGCCTTAGGAAGGGAGAAAGTGTGTGTAAGGTTTTCTCCTGGGACATTTGAGCAAACCCTCTCTAGGGAAGGGAAACTGATATCTGGGTAGAACTTACGTAGCTGTCTGTACCACCCCCTCACCGCTCCTCCCCCCACTCCTGCCCAGTGCCCAGTATGGTAGGGAGCATGTTGATTCTCATCAGGTTCTGACGTTTGGTTCTTAAGAGTACCAGAGCACCTGCCTGTGGCCTTGGAGCTATAGCACCCTCAGGTCAGAAAGAAAACCCTTCCCCACGGGGGTTTCTGTGGGAGACGGTCAGCTTGAAATTTAAAATCACCTTGGCAACACACCTCTGGGTACGTCTATGAGAGTGTTTCCAGAAAGATTTACCTAAGGAGTGGAGAGCCACGCTGAATGTGGTATCACAAGGCGGGCGTCCCAGACTGAAATGAAAACACAAAGCTCGTTGACGCAACGACATCCATCACCCTCTGGTTCCTCACTGTAGAAGCAACATGGCTAGCTGTCTCACACACTGTTGCCTTGAAGGAAGTTTCTAGAGGGCTAGCTCACAATTCCAGTTCCTTATAGAAGGGCCACCCGTCCCCACGGTATTACAAGAGGGAACAGGAGACGAGCTCCCTACCGCAGTGGAGGTGAGAGCCAGGACGCAAGGACATGCTGAGGGCCTTCTGGGGCTTCCTGTGTATCCACCATTATTGGCCACTATGAATCAACAAGGGCCAGAAGTTTCCATTGAGAAACCTCAGAAAATAATGTGTCTAAAGCCTGGTCAGCAACTGAGTCAAAGAGAAAATAGCTTATGAGGGAACTGGTCCCAGCGTAGCCACTTCACCCAACAGAGGAAGCCTCAGAGCAAAGTGCCAGTGTTGAGGTCTCTCCTGTCCAGTGCCCTGCGGTCTCACACACAGCCTGTAACTGATCTCATAGGTTTTCTCCTTGTTTTAGTAAGCATCTATTTCAAACACCGGAATAATGCTACTGACCAAAATGCCAGACGTGGAAATGGAGGTAAGAGAGATGTTTAGTGACAATGGGGACCTTCTAGAACCTTTCAAGTTAGACCATAGAGCACTTCCTTCTGAACACAGGCAGTTTTTTTGAAACCACCGTAATAACTGATGTGAATTTTTCTGCCATGCATTCAGAGGTAATAAACAGCTCAAGTGTTTATCTACAAGATCAGTGTGCAGGGTCCTTGCCCATCTGTGAGCAGCATATGTAGTGTTAGTCATGATTCAGATATCCTTTGCCATTTGGACAGGCAGCCATTGTGAACTCATATATACTTAAGAGACTGCAAGCATCCTACATACCAACCAAGAGGCAA